TAACGGGGTGTTAGTTGTAACACACGTGGTTTGAATATTTATTTTTCCATAGTAACATTTAAAATCTGGCTTAAGTAAATTTTTCATCTCAGTTTTTATTATTCATTTAAAATTAGACAAATCTGCTATTATTTTAATCTGTTATTTATCAGTTCAGATAGGTTTTTTTTTAATGCTTTGATTACTAGCAGAAGACACTAACCAGTTTTAAATTCCAGATGCGCAGATTGGGCACGTTGTAACACTGCAGTTAGCGATGTAATGTACACTATTTACTTTGATTAATTTTAATGAGAAATAACGAGAAACAGGTGAAGAAAGACTGACAGTCAATGTTTAATGTTTAGACATTATTATTTCAAGACATGTAAAGCATTTTTGCTCGTTTATGTGGGCCGTCCCAAGCATGGTTGCAATATGTTCATTGTCAAACTCCAAAATCAGATTATTTTTAATTCTTAAAAAACGCCATTATTTTATTTAAACAAAACAAAAAAAAATATATATATATACAAAGGATTTTAGCAAATGGCTGCAATATAACAAAGAGTGAAAAATTTAAGGGGGTCTGAATACTTTCCGTACCCACTGTATATATATTTATTAACAAAATATTTTAGTTTGTCTTGTATATTTTTTTCTTCCTCGAGCTGAAGAGATCTTCCGAATTTGGTGCGAATTCGCAGCGCCGTTACGGAGATATGGCCGTTTAAAATTTCAATGGCGTTCCATTGACTTAAGCTTTAAAGCGTTTCATCCAGGTCGCCAGTAGCAAACAATTGAGCGCACTCTGCTGGACAAACGAAGTAATTACACCATTTCAAGCATTTTATCTGCATTATAAGTAAAAAATTTCATATAGGCGGCATATTCGCCGATACCGATATATCGGTGACAGGCTCATATCGGCCGATAATATCGGCAAAGCGATATATCGGTCGGGCTCTTGTCTGTATTTCCTCAACAGACCACAAAACAGCCACTTATTGGTTGTAAAAAAAGGTGCGCTCATTCAAAACAGTTGAATTCGATCCTTCTTGCTGTGCTGATTTAAATCTAGTGGTTCTGTTGTGTTTGTGTCACAAGTTCAGTGATGCAGGTAGTGTCGATTCTCTCTGGCCAATCAGTGATCAGCAGAGTTTACACGTCACGTTTTGGTAACAGTACGGTTCACTTGGAACCTCAACCGACGTGGTACTGAAAAAAATACCAGGTACTGTACCCAGTGGAAAACCCCCCAAAAGTGAACCGTACAGAGCCATTTCATGCAGTGGAAAAGCGCCATAATAATTTTCCTGGGAAGGCCGGTGAGAAGACCATTACAATATTCCATCCTGCTGGTGATAAAGGCATGAACAAGTATCTCTGGAAACAAAACATCTAATTATTGCAATGTTTCTGAGATGATAGTATGCTGATTTAGTTACTGCTTTGACATGACTACTGAAACTAAGCTCTGTTTCCAGAATCACACCAAGATTCCCCTTGAGTCAAGGTATGCATTTACCTTGAGAACTTCATCTTTGTTTCCAAATGCAATGACTCCAGTTTTCTCCTTGTTTAACTGAAGAAGGTTTTGGCACATCCAACTGTTCATGTCATCAATGCATTGGCAGAGGGAGTCAATGGGGCTGTAGTCGTTTGGAGATATGGCTAGGTAAATCTGGGTGTCATCTGTAATTTGGTTCTTTCTCATTATTTGACTTAGTGGGAGCATATACAGGCTAAACAAGAGCGGTACAAGAATTGAGCCTTGTGGGACTCCGCATTTCATGGACGTCCACTTAGACTTATGCTCTCCTATACTCACATAATAACCTCTCCCTTCTAAATATGACCTGAACCATTTGAGTACCATCCTAGAAAGCCCGACCCAGTTTTCCAGTGTCTCTAGTAGTATGTTATGATCTACAGTGTCAGACACAGCACTGAGATCTAGTAGTACCAGCACTGATATTTTGCCAGAATCAGAATTTAAGCGAATATCATTTATTATCTCAATGAGTACTGTCTCTGTGCTGGGATGAGGTCCGAAACCAGATTGAAAATTTTGATTAAAGATTACCTTTTCAATAATCTTGCCTATAAAAGGTAGATTTGATATTGGTCTATAGTTGCTCAATATAGTGTTATCAAGATTGCTCTTTTTCAGGAGGGGCTTAACAACTGCAGTTTTCAGGGAGTTTGGAAAAGTCCCAGAGAGAAGTGATGTGTTCCCAGAGAGAAGAGAGGCGTTCTCTCTGGGAACTTTATAAATGATTATAAATGAGTAAAAACAAGAAAATAAAAACATAACACAAATGTATGGTCACTCTCTTAATGCAACACACAGTTTGTATTTGAGGATCCTCAGATCCTTCATGTTGTTGATCAAACATATTTAATAGTTCTTCCTATAGAAACATGAGGTTTGTGCCTATAATAGTTTAAAAATCTCACGGCACTTTGGTGAATTCTTGGCCTAATGGTTAGAGAGTCGGACTCGTAACCCAAAGGTTGTGGGTTCGAGTCTCGTACTGGCAGAGATTGTAGGTGGGGGGAGTGAATGTACAGCGCTGTCTCCCACCTTCAATACCATGACTGAGGTGCCCTTGAGCAATGCACCAAACCCCCAAATGCTCCCCTTGCGCCGCAGCAAAAAATGGCTGCCCACTGCTCCAGGTGTGTGTTCACGGTGTGTGTGTGTTCACTGCATTTATCCCATCCTAAGTGCACACACACAGCAGAGCACTAATTCCGAGTATGGGTCACCATACTTGGCCACATGTCACTTCATTCACGGAAAGATTCAGGGACGTATAATTTATAAAATTGCATCAAAAGGATCAAAATTTTGTAATGCAATTGTCTACTTTCTGCTGTTATATCAGGGTTCGTCTTTGTCCTTTCACTTTATTATGTCCTTTCACTTTTCAGTTTTTTTTAATGAGTTACTGACAAATGTACTGTTTTTACTTTTGTTTCAGAGATGATTGAAAAAAATTAGGAGAAAGAAGAATTCTGAGGAGAAAAATCGTGTCAGAAATATCCCAAACAGAAAGATTTAAAGAAAAAAAAGGAACACATGGACATCCACACTGGAGAGAAGCGGCACACATGTGATCAGTGCGGGAAAACATTTTTGTGGGCTTCAGTCCTGAAGAAACACCTGGTAGTTCATACAAAGGAGAAGCCACATTCATGTCATTTGTGTGGAAAAAGTTTTTCACGTCTACAAAGTTTGAAAGAACATCAGAAAATACATACTGGTGTGAGTGAGTACATGTGCATTGATTGTGGGAAGACTTTTACTTCAGCGGCCGGTTTAAAAAAGCACCAGAGGATTCACACTGGAGAGAAACCTTACAAGTGTTCACACTGTGACAAGAGATTCATTCAGTCAGGAACACTGAAAAGACATGAGATGATCCACACTGGAGAGAAACCGTACGCATGTGATCAGTGCGGCAAAACATTTTTGAGAGATTCAGTCCTGAAACAGCACCTGGTAGTTCATACAAAGGAGAAGCCACATTCATGTAATTTGTGTGGAAATAGGTTTTCACATCGACAAAGTTTGAAAGAACATGAGAAAATACATACTGGTGTGAGAGAGTACATGTGCTTTGAGTGTGAGAAGACTTTTACTTCAACAAAGTGTTTAAAACTGCACGAGAGGATTCACACTGGAGAGAAACCTTATAAATGTTCACACTGTGACAAGAGATTCATTCAGTCAGGAACACTGAAAACACACGAGATGATCCACAATGGAGAGAAACCGCACACATGTGATCAGTGCGGGAAGAGTTTCACACTAAAAACAAACCTTACAGACCATATGAGAGTTCATACTGGAGAGAAACCATTCACCTGTGATCAGTGCGGGAAGAGTTTCTCATACTCATCAGCCCTTAAGGTACACATGGACATCCACACTGGAGAGAAACCGTACACATGTGATCAATGTGACAAAACATTTTTGAGAGCTTCATACCTGAAGCAGCACCTGACAGTTCATACAAAGGAGAAGCCACATTCATGTCATTTGTGTGGAAAGAGTTTTTCGCGTCCAGAACATTTAAAAGTGCATCAGAAAGTACATACTGGTGTGAGAGAGTACATGTGCTTTGAGTGTGAGAAGACTTTTACTTCAGCGAGCAGTTTAAAACTGCATGAGAGGATTCACACTGGAGAGAAACCTTATAAGTGTTCACACTGTGACAAGAGATTCAGAGATTCAGGACAACTGAAACTGCACGAGAGGATCCACACTGGAGAGAAACCGTACAAGTGTTCACACTGTGACGAGAGATTCAGTCAGTTAGGAAATATGAAAACACACGAGAGGATCCACACTGGAGAGAAACCGTACAAGTGTTCACACTGTGACGAGAGATTCAGTCAGTTAGGAAATATGAAAACACACGAGAGGATCCACACTGGAGAGAAACCGTACAAGTGTTCACACTGTGACGAGAGATTCAGTCAGTTAGGAAATATGAAAACACACGAGAGGATCCACACTGGAGAGAAACCGTACAAGTGTTCACACTGTGACGAGAGATTCAGTCAGTTAGGAAATATGAAAACACACGAGAGGATCCACACTGGAGAGAAACCGTATCACTGCACTGCATGTGGGAAGTGTTTCAGTCGTTCATCTTCTCTACTCAGTCATACAAAAAACTATCACAGTAAGTAGATCATCTTCAGATCCAGCACTTTCAGATCTGATGCTGCATTCTCACCAAATGTGACACAATAATGCATCGAGCAATAAAATATCATCTGGATAAATCTGTCATTACAAGTGACATGACAAAGAAATGGTATCTAAAGTTGAATAAAGTTCATCTTCATCTTCAAAACCAGCTGATTTAACTGAAATTCAGATCAACTCAAAGATGTAGTTTCTCCCCAAAGAACAATGTCCAAAGGTTTTATTCCTGTATATCGTTTTGCTTCATGATATATCATTGTGCTTTCTTATGGGTTTCATATTATCTTCAATTGTTTCATACTATGTTCAATATATTTAATAAGCAGGATTGTAAGAATAATAACACCAATAAAACCTTACCGATACCCATCTATACTTGTCAGTAGGAGAGAGAGATCCAGCTCATTAGTTTTCGCTTTTACTTAGCTTGTTTTTGTATTTGCTGATTAAATGTAATTATTGATTAAATGTTACCTTTTTTATTAATACATTCTTTACTTTTTATATTTTATCAACACCTTTTATTGTCTGCTGATTGTATTTGAATCAGGAAAAAGTAATTTTAAAATTTTAGTTTTAATATCTAAAAACTATTAAGTATTATAATTAGAGGTTGACCGATAGTGGATTTTGCCGATACCGATAGCTAGTTTGGACCACACTGGCCGATACTGATTAATTAACTGATAGTTTTTAAAATGGATACTGAACAAAAACTAAGATAATGCTTTATTAAAACAATAGTACTGAACCATATTAGTAGTAGTACCGTAGTACTACTAACGTAGTAGTACTAGTAGCGGACCCCCTCAGCATACAGCCGGTGAGTCCCATGAACCTAGTCAATCTCAACAGTTTATACCAAGTGTAGAGGAACAAGCCGAAACTGATTGTCACACAAATCGATGGCACAAACAGGGAGCGAGACCCAAAGGCAGTAGAGACATCAGATTGTCACGAGTTTCTCGTATTGCTGCCATAGCATTCTCTACCCCAGATATGGCTATGACAAGGCTTGTGAATACTGGTATTCTACCACCCCCTATACATCTTGAGAACAGATTTGAAGCATTAATGAATGCGGGTGAGGAATCCCCAAATGTGATTAAACATGGATCGGATCAGCCAGCAGCTAATATTGCTACTAACAGATGCTCAAGGTCGAGCAGACAGCGGCTTTCAGCTCAGAGCGCAGCCGAGCCCAGGACTCTGATAGTGGGCGACTCCATTATCAGAAACATCAGTAGCAGAAATTCAGCAACTTTCTGCGTTCCTCAAGCAACAGTTTCTGATTTGAACAAGGAACTTTGGAAAATTCTAATGAAGCACAAGACTGCAAATCGAATCATTATCCATGTGGGGAAGAATGATATTCGGAATGAGTAGTCAGAACTCCATAAGAAGGACTTCAGTGAATTCTTTGAAACACTTCGAAGACTTAAAGTTCAGTCGTTCATCAGTGGGCCACTCCCAGCAAGAGGAACTAATATGTTTTCACGTTTGCTTGGGCTGAACACATGGCTACAAAGAATCTGCAGCTTAAAAGGAGTCAATTTCATCGATAACTTCAATCTTTTCTGGGGCCATAGACAACTGTTTAAACTGGATGGCCTCCACCCAAACAAATTGGTGCAAGAGTGCTAAAGGACAACATCTACTTCTCCATCCATCATCCTTCAG